GGTTCTGCCCATACTCATTGGAGTATGTAACACTGTTGCTGCAACCATGCCACCAGCGCCACCACCGCCAACCGCGCATTGGACCACATCTGCGACGACCACCTCCTGAACTGGTTGACGACGTGGGGTCAGCGGCGTTGATGACTCCCTCTCCTGAACTGCTCGACGACGCGAGGTCAGCGGCGTTGATGGTCCGGCGGCAGTTTGAAGGACTTTCAGAACCGCCCCACGTTGTGTGGCCGCAGAACCTATCAGTCGACCGCTACCAGGACGGGGCTGCAGCCTTCAGCATGAAGTTCGTTTTTTTTTTTTTTTTTTTGTTGAAAAAGAACACATGTATTCCACAGTGGCGTGAAGTTCTTGAGCTCGCATGAAATAGATTTTAGAGTCTGGGCCCTGCTCCGCTATTTGAGCCTCAGTACATCAAGGGCGAGTACAACAAGGTTGCTGATGCACTATCGCGTAGGCCTGACTTCTCCGGTGCGCTGATCACTGAGTTTGGGCTAAAAGATTAGTAAATATAATATTTGTAAAAATATCACGAATGGAATACAGTCGACCGCTACCAGGACGCGCATCAACCAGTACCAGGACGAGGCTGCAGCCTCCAGCATGAAGTTCGTTTTTTTCTTTTTTCTTTTTGTTGAAAAAGAACACATTTATTCCACAGTGGCGTGAAGTTCTTGAGCTCGCATGAAATAGATTTTAGAGTCTGGGACCTGCTCCACTACTCTTGATATGTGCAAATCGAGAGTGAATTTTCCGCTACAACATGGAAACAGACACCACTATGATTTTTGTCTTTTGTTGAAGTCACGAGTAGATTACAGCAAAAAAAAAAAAAAAAAAAAAAAAGACACCGCGAAATATCTCAGACAACACACACCTAGAATACGAGGTACATACCTTGTATTCGAGGGTACCTTCTATTCGAACCTTCAACAGCGATTTCTCAGAACCCATTTTTTGGAGGTATCTTGAATAGTAGGTATGTACCTTGTTTTCGGGTTAAGAGTCTTAAGACGGTAGCCGAAGAGGCAGCAACAGCGCAGGAGGACTGAATCGGCAACAGGACCGAATCAGCAACAGGGCTGTCAATGGGACTGACAACAGGACTGGCAAAAGGACCGACGTCAGGAGGGGCAGCAAGTGTGGCAGCACTGCCGCAGCAGGACGAGCCGAAGAGGCAGCAACAGGATTCGCAACAGGATCGGAACTCCAGGAAGAAAACCATCAGTCATACCATCACCTAATATTATTATTATTATTATTATTTTATTTTTATTTTTTTTAGATGTCATTTGATGAACAATTATTTCTATATGTTTGCCACATATATATACACCTTGGGATCTATAAACTTCTTGTATTTCAAATACTAAATCTAATTTGCTTCGTTCCATCAGCGCCCAAGCACTAAATTGAAACTCCAGGAACGGGAACAGGAATGGGAACAGGAATGGGAACAGGAATGGGAACAGGACCAAACCGGCAACCGGGAAGGCAACAGGACCTACATCAGAGTGGCATCCAAGGTGACTTTGTGCGTGTAAAGCATGAACCTGGCCGTAAATGCGGCCAAGTCCATGCTTTGGGATCATTTAAGTGCGAAGCTCAGAATAAAGTGACTGTCGATTCTTAGGGCGAGGTCGCACCGCTGCAATGTTTGTGGTTGCAAAGCGCGAATGTGTGCGTAAATGTGGCCAAGTCCATGCTTCCATAGCAATGAGCATTGCATCAGTGAAGCAAGGCCCATACAAATTGCGGCAATTTCAATTGGAATGCACGGGCGGAGCATGGAAAGCGTGATCTTGGTCGTAAAGGTGGTCCAAGTACGTGCTTTTTCATGGCATGAGCATAGCAGCAGCCGGGGCTATACCCTTGATAATTCCTGCGATGTCGATTGTGACACACCTCTCCGGCAGCAATGCCATCATTGCCTATGATTAGGAAGGCTGTGTGCAGTGATCCTCTCGTTGCCCTCTTGTTTTTTCCCAAAGGACAATTGCCCCAGGTAATTCATAATTATTTCATTATTCCATGGGGAGTCTTAACTCAGGTCTGTATTATAAAAGGTCATGTGTGTCCCAATTGAGATAGACCAATTGGTTCTCATAGTGTTTTGCTTTTATGCTCTAAATTCTCTAATATATGATATAATACCAAAAAGTAAAAAAAAAAAGAAAAAAAAAAAAAAAGAAAAAAGAAAAAAGGAAAAGGAGTAGTCCTACTCACGACAGATTGGGTGCCACTTATCAATGGTCGGACTCCTTATCCGGCAGAATCCGTGCTCATTTGAGTTGATCTGGTGTTTTTCTTTTTTTTTTTTTTTTTTTTTTTCCTCCTTGGCGGTGGGGAACAGGTAGCAATTGTGGTTCTTGTCATTTTGACAGGATCTGCGAAGGTCGATCCCAGTAATTGGTTCCCTTTTGCTCCGAATGGAATTCCTGCGATTTTATCAGTGTCGACGACAGTCTTCTTCGCCTATGTCGGATTTGATGCGGTTGCAAACACAGCTGAGGAGAGCAAGAATCCGCAGGTACTACGAATCATCCTACTTTCCACCCTGACCAATTGACCACTCACCCAATTGCCCAATTGCCCAGTTGCCCAATTGCTCAATTGACCAATCAATCAATTGCCCAATTGCTCAATTGCCCAATTGATCGACTAACCAATTGCCCAATTGACTGATTTCTTAGGGCCTGCCAAACACGGACTGAGACACACAGCTGATTTCTGAGTTTTGCCAATGGAAGTCATGCTTTGCTGAGTTTCCCACTTGTTGCTGAGTTTTCTAAGTCTGGGTGTGTGCGTGCTTGCTGGTCTGTGTGCCTGTCTGAGTGCTCGTTGGTTTGAGTGTGTGTGAGACCCACGAGGCTACTTGTTCGTGTGGAAGGCCCAAAGGGCCAGTACTTACCTGTGGCTGTGGCATTGAGGGTTGGAGCGGGGAAAACACTCAAGTGGAGGGGAAGGAGGCCCGCGACACTTGAAGCAATGGAAAAACACTCAAGTAGCAGGTAGGCCTGTACCACACCAGGTAGAGGTAGATGTGCCGGGTACTCGAGGCCGAGCAGAAGAAGACAAAGTTGGCATTTTTAGAGGCCCGGTAGTTGTAGGCTAGGGCCTGTACAGGCAATATCAGAGTCTGCAATGATCTTTCCCTCTGAAAGGGAGGAGATACCGGTTGCTTGGAGGCTGCACGGCCTAGGAAGTCACTCGCGAAGAGGCAAGCATGCCGCTATATCTCCAGGAGGAGCGAGGCGCTCCTCCTCATTGCCGGTGTGCAAGTTTGGCGACACACTGGTTGGAGCACTGGCTGGAGCAGCGCTAGCATCAATGCAGCGCTGGGGAGGAGCAAGGACAGGAGGAGGAAGAAGACCAGGACTAGGAGGGAGGAGCGCCAGAGGTACTTACCTGGCAATGGTGGAGGCCATCTTCATCACCTTGGTGGGCGCTGCATGTGGAAGGCCCTGGTTGGCAAGAGCTAAACCAAGAAGCTTCGAGGCAGAGTCAGGCATGGCGGTCTGAGCTAGAGCAGCCATAGCTGCCATGTGTTGTCCTTTCCACAGCAGGGCAGTGCCCTGGTAGTCCGCCATAGCCTCAGCCATAACCTCATGTGATACCTGCAGTAGAAGAGGGTTTCGGACATTGATTCTGGTTCAGCCATTCAACATTATTATTATTATCTCTTGTTTGAATAAGAGGGGAGGAGATAAGCAGGAGGAGAGTGGTTGGTGAAGAAGAAGGGAGTTCTCATCGGTCTTTGCTGGTTTACGTCTTCTTCTTCTTCTTCTTCTTCTTCTTCTTTCCCTCTCTCTCCTCTCAAGTTCGTTCATTTATTTTTGCAATTGGACGGCGTTGCGCTTTCTGATGAATGTGTACTTCGAAATGGGCCAGGATCATAACAGATTGACCAATTGACCCATTGATGAACTGACCAGTTGACTAGACTACCAGAGTGGCCCGGGGTCACTTGCCCGGCTGGGCCAAAACAAAGTTGAAAACTAAAAATAATAAATATATATATATATTTTAGAATTTCATGTTATATTTTAAATTTGGTAAGGAATTTCGATGTGACCCTGAGGCAAAAGTTGTTAGTTTATTTTTCCGCATAACATAGTTTTTTTTTTCGTTGTTTTTTTTTTTTTTTTTTTTTTGTGTGTGTGTGTGTGTGCCGGGATCTTCCCTTGTGCGAGGATATGGGCCCTCGGCAGGCCTAAGGGGCCCCCTTGCAGCAAATGTGGCCGCCCTAAGTGAAGGCGGGCCTAACAAATCACCAGAGGCCCTAAGCTGTCAAATTTGTATTAGGGGTCCAGGCAGTTTCGTCGCGCCAGTTGGTTAAGGAAACACAGGCCGAGCAGCAAGGAAATCCCACGGCCTTCTAGGCTTTTCCGAAAGTGCAGGCCCTGGGTGAGATTTGCAGCCTCATACACAGACAGTTGAGAGGCCCAACTGAATGAGGCCCCAGTAGCTGCACCAGGGGTGCAGCATCGTGGGGCCTACCGGAAGCTTCTGGGCCCAGGCCCAGGCCAGCCAGGCTGCGAAGGCAGGCAGACTCTTTCCATATAGGAAAGAGCTCGCTGCCTGGAGCCTCATTCGGGCACTCACATGCTGGCGGCAGCGCTGCTCATGGGCTGCTGCTAGCGCTGAGAGGCGAGGTGCAAGCACGTGCGGTCGTGCAAGGAGGAGGGCGCTGCTGAGGGCAGCGCCATAGCCCAGCCTCCATAGCTGGCAAGGCTTGGATGTACAGTGAGGCGCAGGGGTGGTCTTCAGGTATACAGAGGGAAGACGTGGGTGTAAGACGAGGAAGAGAGAGAGAAGGATGATGATGATGATGATGATGTGAGGGCACATACCTGGTATTGGCGATGGTCTGCATGGGCGACATCTTCAAGTACTTCGGAGGCTGCTGACGTCAACAGTTGCATTGTCAACTAGTAGGCTAGTAGTAGCTGTGTAGGGAGTAGGCTGGGCACCGAGCGCCAAGTAGGGAGATAGAGACTGGATACATATGTTGGTGGTGGCGAGAGCAAGCTCTCATTGACATTGGTTTTCAGTGCTACGATTCTCCATTGGTGTCATATTGGTGCAATGCTGCTTTCTGAACACTGATACGAACTGGCTTTCAATGTGGTTGTGCAATCTGAATATTGTCATCTTGCTTCTGTTCATTTTCCTTGCAATTTGGTATCGGAGCTAATTCAAACTGCGCTCGTTGGTTCTTCGCAATAGCTGTTCGGTGCTTCGCATGAGGTGTGGGGCAGTGATAAGGCTTGGGCGTTGAATGGTAGGCGGGCCAGGGTCGTGTGGGAGCCCCAAGAAGCTATGTGGGGACTTTAGGGGTGTACGCTGGATGATGAGAGCTCGCTGATGTGGCATTTAAGCCGTGGTGGAACTGCATTCTGCTGTTGGTTGTGCCGAGGCAAAGACCAGTCATCATAAATGCACATCATATTTTTTTATTTTTTTTTTTGCTGGGATCTTCCCTTGTCCTTGCACGGGCTGGCCACCCGGGACCCGGGCGGCCCGGCTGGTAGCCTAGCCAGTTGACCAATGACCAATGAACCAATGAACCAATGCACCAATGGACCAATTGCACGACTCCCTAGTGAGTGGCAAGCTGCGCACCCAAACTGGGCTAACAGCAATTTCTCATCATCGTGGAATAGAGCAACCCAAACTCCACAACTAAATTGAACGTATCAATCAATCAACAATCAATTATCCACCCCAGACTCCCCAGTACTAATCAATCATTCAGTCAATGTTTGATCATTCACCCCAAGCTCAAAAGAAGTGTCAATTTGCATGTGTGCAGACTCTGCAGAGCCACGATGAGCATACGTGTGCTTGTCCAATCGAACGAGAATTCCCAAACTCTGTCCAATGGATTTTTTTTTCACTTTTCAGCAACGTTGAAAGTGACTTCAATCAAGATTAATGAGATATCTAATCGACCCCATTTTGGGAAGAAATCCGGGCCCTTGATTTCTGCAGGATGGTGGCCTTACCTGAGGACGATTCTTCTGTAACATGAACCTTTTTTTTTCTCTCTCCTTTTTTTGTTTTATACAAAAGCAGCGCCTTTCTATTGGTGGGGGAACTGGGCCCAGCGTCCCTAGAGTAATAATTACAACCTGCACTCAATACCTCCCCACGTTACAGCCTGCTCGGGATGCAATGCTGCTTAGGCAGGCGGAGAAATCGGACCTGTCTGTAGGTCGACCCTGCAGGTACAGACCCTGCAGGTTCACTGCATCCGGGGCTACGGCCAAAAGTCTCGGGGATGGTATCTGTTTTTATTGGCAGTGAAGAGCATATCCACTTCCCTGAATGATTCAGCGCCAAATTACAGCCAGATTCAGTCGGAAAAGTTCTTGCAAATGTGACGATGAGAGCAAACTCAAACGGGACTTCCTTCAATGGATCGGGGCCAAATTACGGCCATATTCTGTCCCTGTGTGAGTATGCCCAAAGTCTCTTTCAGGGGTGCGGAAATTCAGACTCAGTGGGCTATCTGCTGCTCTTCTCTGGCCAACAAATGGGTATGTGTAATCTGATTTTCACCCTTCTAATCACTGGTGTTTGTTTGTCTTAACTTGTGTGGTGTTGATTGGCTCTCTTTGCGTGCTGTGATGCTCTATGATCGTGCGTGTTGTGCAATGAACTCTTGTGGCTGCATGGAGGTGGAGTTGTGAAGGGTAGCTGGGGTCGTGCGAGTGGACGGATGGGTTGTCGTGGCGTCCTCGTGATGGCAGCGTGATCTGCCAATCGGGATTCTTGGGTCCATGGGGGTGTGCATGGCCCTATACATAGGAGTTTGCCTGGTCTTGACTGGGATGGTCAGGTATGATCAGCTTGACAAGGCAGCACCAATTGCATCAGCCTTCGTTCAAAGAGGTGCTGGGTTTATCACGGGTTTTATCTACATTGGTGCAATCATTGGCCTTACAACTACACTGCTTATTGGCATGTATGCTCAGGTAAAGACTTCACACATTCCACGATTTTCATATATCAATCAACACCATGGTCCACTTCCACCACCTCTGGCATGTACCCTGCTTTTGTTTTCTTCCTCCTCCTCCTCCTCCTCCTCCTTCTTCTTCTCCTCTCTCTAGCCCCCCTTCCTCCTCCTGCTCCTGCTACTACACTAGTGCTCCTGCTCTCAGTCCTACTCCTCCTCCCACTTCCACTCTTCCTCCTGCTCCTGCTGCTACTATCTCTTCTCCTTGTCCTCCTGCTACTCCTCCTCCTACTACTACTCCCGCACCTGCTCCTCCTCCTCCTCCTCCTCCTCCTCCTCCGCGTGCTGCTACTCCTCCTCCTCTCCTGCTCCTGCTTGCCCCTCCTGCCCCTGCTCCTCCTCCTCCTGCTCCTGCTTCTGCTGCTCCTCGTGCTCCTCCTGCTACTGCTCATCCTCCTCCTGCTACCGTTGCTGCTTGTGGTGTTGCTGTTCCCCAAGCTGCTCTTGGTACCACTGCTCTTGCTTGTCCTTCCACTACTGCTCATGGTCCTCCTCCTGCTACTCATCCTGCTAGCACCACTGGGGTGTTGCCCTAGTACTCCTAACTCTCTGAGCACAGACAAGGGATCATCTTTCCCGCTGAGCAGCGAATAGAAGCTGTGATGCACTGGTGCTCTGTTCGTGCTTCAGAAACCATGAATACAGCCGTAGAACTGGCCCCCTTCGTTATCTTGGATATAAAACGGGGTGGAAATTGGCCAGCCATAGAGAAAATCAATCCACAAAGATCCTCTCTAATCGAGGCATGGCAACCTCATTACCAGAGACTCTGCTCTGCGCTGGGAACACAATCATGCAAAAGTTTTGATGAAATGATTAATCGGTTGGGAACAATGGGAAGCCTATTAATCAAGACGAATGGGTATGGCTTTCTCTGTCGTTGTCCTCGGACTCTGTGAGGTAGGAGGTGAATGGGTATGGCTTTCTCTGTCGTTGTCGTCGGACTCTGTGAGTTAGGTGGGAGCTGTATCTGACGAGTTGGTAAAAATCCAACGGAACAGTCTGTCACAGCCCCTCGTTTGTTGTGCTCATCACCACGACTCTACGACTCCACAGTGAGCCAAAAAAAAGAAGGAAAAAAGAAAACAAAAAAACACGTTATGACGGACCTTTTTTTTTTGCACACCCAATGTTACATGCCCAGTTGGGCGATGTACATACAAAACCAAGGATCCGCAATGTGAGGAAAAGGACTGAATGAACAATGCAGTGCAAGTAGAATCTCAACAAGCAGTGTGCATTCCGATACATACAAGAATGGTGCTTTATAGCGCAGTGGAAGACTTGGATACAAGTCCTGACCTGACCAGGACTGACCGCTATCACATAGTGCAAGATAGCGCAGCAGAATACTAGAATTCTACTGACTAGCCCAATCAATGTTGCAAAGCAGACCAAACATACATCATTCTCACCACACGGTGTGAAGAGAGCCTGGCGCTATACACAGGAAGAGGCGCCAGGTCCAGTTCATGCACAGACTAAGAGGAGGGGATCAGACAGAGAAGAGGAGGGGAGAGATGGGAAAGCCGTCAACACCAAGTCTCATTACAAGTCCCAAATAATCCCTCGTCAAAATGTCTGAAGTCCAATGTCGAGTCTGGATCCAATGTCACCAAGCTCTCTCTCTCTCATAGTCTGCTGATGCAGTGAAGTCAGATAACGAGAGGGTGAGAGGGAGATGGTGGACTGAGAAGAGGAAGAAGAAGAACTCTCTCTCTCTCTCATATGCCAGGTACTAACCTGTGAAGATGGCGCTGTGCTGCAGGTACCTCGAAGACGAAGCTGGAGCGATGGCGCAGGTAAGTCTCCCTGGCCTCAGCCCAATCTCTCTCTCTCTGGTACTCTAGCTCCTATGGCGCCCAGCGCTGAAGACTACTGCTAACGCTGCCACTACTACTACCGCGCTCCTCCAGAGTGCCGCTGCCGAATCCTGCAGACTACCTCCTGCCTGCTGAACTGCACGTGAAGTGCCTGGGAAGTCCCTATGAACTACCTGCAGCCTGCAGGGCGGGCCAGTCCTTTCTAGTGCTGGCCCGTCCAGGAGGCTGCTCTTGCCAATGCCAAAACGTGCCAGACCCTGGGGTTGAAGCTCAAACGAAGGTTGTCTAGAAAATAGGCCAAAAATGGCCTGAGCTAAAACCCTGGTTTGGTGCCTGAGTTTTGGGGCAGGCCGGACTCATGAGGGCCTGAAAATGGCCCTCAGTTTCAGGCTGAAAAGACTCAGGGCCGGAAAGGCCCTGATTTAGGCTGAAACGACACAGGGCCTGTAGGCCCTTGTTTTCAGGCTTTCAGGCTGAAACGACACGGGGCCTGTAGGCCCTTGTTTTCAGGCTTTTGGCCTGAAAACGTCACGGGCCTGAAAGTGGCCATTGCAGCCTGTTGCAGGCGCAGCATGTAACACCCAAGGAGAGTCCACAGCGGGATGCGCAAAAAAGGAGACAATTCACATAATACATTCAACAAGGAACTCTGAAAAAGAAATGGGATAGGA